CTTTTCAAAAACAGGCCTTCGGAGTCCCTTCTGTAGCATAAAGAAGAAAGAAGACTAAAACCTTGGACACCTGGTGAACCTTCCTTGAAGGAAGGCACTGCAGGAGAACCACCAATGCAGAAGACACCTGTCAGTGGTGCTCACATACCTGGATCTGAAGGGAAATGCCCGAGAACAACTGAGAGTTGAGAAACACTCCTCAATTCAGATAGGCCAAACGTCATGCCAGGGCTAGTGCCTTGCAATAAATTCTTCTTTTGTTTGGAAATCCTATCTCAGGCAACTCTCCAGAGTATTGCACATGACCCTTTAGCTTGCAGAGTACCAGCAGAGTCCTACATCTGTGATGCTAGACACAAACACAGGATCTAATCCTCTTTCTAGTTACCCATTTCTTAAAGCAGAGACTCTGCCTACTATCTCTGAGCCCGCAGGTCCTCAAGCACAGCCTGTGCTGCAGTTCCAGCCTGCTGAAACGGCTAATTCAAAGTCAGAGTTCAAAGAGTGCCTTCTGTCAAAGAAGCTACCACGTGGACTTTGCAATGGGTTTTCTGACTGATGAGGCTTGTCTTTAGCCAGCAAGAAACATATGCGTTACTAGGCAAAGGCTTTGCACCTAGGCACTGATTTCTACCTCTGTTCTCCAGGACTGCTGTTCAGAGCTTGGGAGCACATCTTAGCAGCATCCCAAGTGCCATTTCATCTCGTCGCTCTCTCGCTGGAAAATGCAATCTATTCTCCTTTTCATCCTGCCAGCTGCCTTTCACCTTGGCACACCCTGCGATCAGAAATCCCCTTTCCTTGGTTTAAATCTCTGATCTACCATTTCCATCCTTTTGTTCTCTTGTTTGTACATTCTTTCACACTCCACTTCCCTTCCTGCAGGCACAGGTGGCCAGACAAGTTCTCTCCCAGGCAGGCACACTCCTTACAAATTCACCATCATGCCAGAAACAGTCACAGAGATGAACTTAGTTGGTCTGATGTGTAGGCTCTGTCTTGACAGAGACTGTCCAGGGTCAGCTCTGCAATTTCATGAGAGTAACTGAGACCCATATAGCATATAAAGAGATCCTCCTAAGTCTTCTGAGACTGGATTGTTCTTCCAGTGAGCTTATGGAGCAGAAAAGATAAAACAGATGGGGTAAAGGGCCCAACTGCTACATCAGTGATCCCCAGTCAGCATCTCTGTGACTATTGTAACTACTGGATTTACATTTTTTAAGTATTGTAACAAACAGGTAAACGTCTAGTGCTGGATCCCCACACAAGCCACGGGGTTATTTAATTGATAGCACTCTACTTCTTCGAATGTAAAACATGATACTGATGGAGCTTTAAGCAATAGGTAAACATTTCTCATAATCTTCATTTGCCAGAGATACTAGGCAAAGGTTTATCCCAGGAAAAATAACGCATTACATTTAGGAGAAAATCAGTAAATTCAATGAGGGCTTTCCAAATATTAGTATTAAATACCTTAACATTGAAATATAGTCATTATTTGAACTACAACAGCATCAAGAAACCCAGCTGCAATTGGGTCTCATTTCGTTACAGTCTGCATGAAGACAGAGTAAAAGACATCCTCCTCCCAAAGAGTGCATGTTCAAAGCATTCAAAACCAGGCATACAGTGAGAGAAGAAACAGAGCCATAATGAAGTCAATTGAGCAGCTGCAACTGAGTGGCAGAGGTAGGAATAAACTTTCAGTCTTCCAAAGGCAGCTTTCTATCTGCTTGTTCATGTTGCTTCACTAGTGGTTACAAGAAATTGAGGTGAAGCATATCATCTTCAGCTCAGCACAACTTGAGAAACAGGAATCTTATAGCTCCTAAAGCTAATCAGTTTCTAGCACACAAGGAAACTACAACATTGCTCTTTAATGCCCAAACTATCACAGCTTCATGCTCAGCTCAGATAACTCTGCCAAAATTGTGATATCAAATGACATAATATCATATCATCCCATTGACTTGCACTGGAATACACTCTCTGAAATACATTCAAAAAATTTCATAAACACATGTACCCAGAAGTTCTAAAAAAACCCAATAACCCCCGGAGCCAAAAATCAAGGTAACAATAGCAGAATTCACTGCAGTAGTGATGTACCAGCGCAACAAAAAAATCAAGACCTAACAATGTACAGAAGTCACGTAGAACAAACACGACAGTTATCATTGTATTAAAGATAGACATAAATCAACTACTGGAGCACGTTATCAAGTTCCCTCCAACAGTTCAGTCTTGAAGTTTCTGGCCAAACCAATGTTATTTACTGCCAGCTTCAGGGTCTCATCTCATGGTGTTCATGCAGGGGCAGACTAGATTCAAACAGTTCTCTTTTTAACTCAAAATATTTTAGCTATCATGAATTCTAATGAGAGGCACATGGAATGAGACACATCCAAAAATCCCAGCCTGGAATGCTTCATTCTGTTCTTCTTTTTCGGGGTCCAAATATATGTTGCTGCTCTTGGCAGAAGCATTTACCAACAGAAGACAGTGACCAAGTTGGCTCTCTGCTAAAAAGGCATAACAATCTTAGCTGAGTAGGACCATCAAGTTTCCTCCATGTTTCAATAGCAGACTGAGCTCCACTTTTAAAAGTACTGTAGATGTAATCGCTTTTGCAGCTATTCATTATCAGGCTTGGTGAACTAGTATCAGAAGATTGCCTGTGCTCAGTGTTAGCTGTAAAGAAATTATCCAGCCTGATCATAGTTAAATCTGAATGATAGTAACATATATAAAGTCAGAGGTGGAAGCAGAAAAGAGTCCATAACTGGCCTACTGCGAAACAGAATCTGCAGCACAGCAGAAAACTGGAGACTCGCATCTTCCAAATTCCTAGCTAGCACCTCAGCTATCAGCTCTAAGCTGAGTGCACTGTCAGTGGAAAACACCAAAGTCCAGCTCAGTAGTTGGATACAAATCCTCAAAACAATAAGGGAAACAGCAGGATCCGTAGGTTGACTAAAAACAAAAGCCCTGGGCATGAAAAAACAACTCAGTGCTGCCATCTGTGATGCATCCAGGAAACAGTAACTGAAATAGCCAATGGGTAAAAAAAAGGGGAGCAAGAAAATTGGAAGAAAGAATCTGCTGTATCCTATCCAAAAAATAGTGTATTTATCACAGTATTGATTTTTAATAAGTGTACTATGGCACACTTGTCATGTTAAATAATTGTCCACGTAGACAAAAGTATATAATTTATAATCATCATCATCATCTTTTTTTTCAATGAAACATTTTGCTCTGCATGTGTTAAATGGTTCCTGAGGATCTAAGCTGTTTGCTCACTAAATGAAAAGTATGCCTGTTTCACGCATGACTATGCCCAAGATTTCACAAAGAGGCCGTATCTACCTGTGGGTCTCTGCAAAGTAAACATCAGCTTCAGTCGAGGCAGTAAACAAATGAATACTTCTTAAACAAATAATTACACTAGCGCAATACAGGGAGAACGGATGCATTCCAGACTTGCACTCAGTTAAAGAATTTCTGGGCAACAAATTTGTTCAGCAACACTTGACATTAATCCCTTTGTTCTCTTCAGTTAGACTACGGGGACCTGTCTATTACTTGCAAGTATTCTGAACACTGAAGAAAGAGCACAATTTCTATATTTTTTTAAAGGTAAAAAACCTTCCCTGCTGCCGGGTGCATTCTGAATGCCTGCACAAACATTTTGTTTGACTTTGCAGGACTCAGATTTTCCCACAGCTCTTCTTCTGAGGGGAACTGAAGTCCAAACACTTTCAGTAATTTCTGATTGTAACTGCCATCCACACTGCCAATATTCCAGTGCTGCTGATTTATCAAGAGGCCCAATAGGAGCCTGAGGATTCTGGGTCTTTTGGATTATGCTATAGTAAAATATTTCTTTTAATTAAGTATAATTCTGTATAATTAATCTGGATAGAATGCATTAATTTACCTTGCTATCTCATATTTCCCCAGAGAAAAGTTTTACAGTTCATGTGATGCCCACATCTATCGTTATAAATCATGATATCTTAGTAACTCAGCTTGCAAGTACAAAAACCTTCCCACACATTCACTCTAATCAAAATAGAAATGCTGCCATGTACAGCATACATATGAATTCCAGCCTTAAGCAAAAACAAATCCTGCCACGAGACGCTCTATAGAGCCAATCTGTCAGCATCACCAAGACTTTCCACTCACAGCTTTGGTGTTTCACATGTGTCAGCAACCCAGGAGTCATCAGTATGAGCCAGCTCCATCACAACCCTAATGACCAGGCAGTCTAGCTTCCCTAAACTTGTTCTGATCTACCAAAACCTAGGCTGTCTTTCACTTTCTTTAAAACTGTGCGAGACTTTGCTGGTACACTTAGAGCTGGGCAATGCAGTGCATGATGCCCACTGGAGCATCAGTTTTGTTAACTTGGCTTGGGGGAGGGAAGACGTGCTCCACCATGATCATGATCTCAGATTCATGTTATGCAGCATCAGCAACCTTCCCTCCCAGTCCTGCTGCTGTGTTGAGAATAATTCCACCAGGAAGGGAGAATAACTCAGAAGGGAATATTTAAAACTGCAAGGAAAGAGACACCTCAGGCCTTGAGTTCATGCAGGGCACCATCCGCTTGTGCCTTTTTAGGTCATCTCTACTCTGCAAAGAAACCTGGGCACAAGGCACAGTCACAGGCTTGCACAGTGCCATCAGCAATGTTTCCCCAGTAGCTGATCTGTACGAGCTGAGGACTGGACAGACCCCTCCAGAAAGAATTTTTGCTCTGATAAACAGAAATTAATTTTGGTCTGTGATAAAACGGTTTTCTGTTCCTGCCTCATGACAATCAATCATGAGTTCTGGATAATCCTAGAGTACCTTCCCACAGTACAAGTCTTTGGTCTACTTTATAGGGTACGGTGGCATAATGAAGTGAAGGAAATAACTGTTCCCTGCAGTCAGCTGGGCATGGTAGGAAGAGTACAGAAAGAGAGATTCTTGCACATTGTTACCTGGTTCTATCAGGATGCCGGCGTATCAGAGATTAGCAGGTTCACTTTGGTGGTTCCTCCAGGAACAGGCCTTCCAAGCACTGAGAGGCTAATCCTGGAGAAATGTAAGGAGTATGACGTTTAGATTCTCCCTCCCTTCTCTCCTGCATGAGAGTTTTAAATAGTTCTTTGATCTCAGAGAATTTTGCTATTTATGATTAACTGTTATGTCATTATGTCTGGAACATCCACATTAAAAAAAAAAAAAGTTATCCGCTTGGATTAGCAGATAATACAACATACTGTATAGACTTTCTTTCTTTACTGCTTTCAGGAGTGTACAAGTGCCTGGGGCGAAGGAGGTATGGAAGGGAGGCAGGAAAGAGACTATATTTACTTATGAAGAAGAAAAAGGGAGTGTACAGGACAGGCCTCAGAAGGAAGTATGGTTAGAGGCTGAACGCTTAACAAATGATAATCCTTTTCCAAATCTCAATATTTTGACTGATTGATTGATTGACAGATCTGGGCAGAACATTTATTATACTCAGCATCCCTGTGTTCTGCATTACTCATTTGTTTTCATTGACATGAGCTTTCCAAGCTTTTAATCAACACGATGAAAACAAAATAATGTTAACTTCCTTAATTCTTCACTTTTGAAAGCTACAATAAAAATGGCTTTTGGCCCAAATATTTTTTTCCTCTAAGTATTTCAAAGTGTGCTGGGACAAGTATTACTACTGGACTTCAAGCAAGCCCTGCATTACACTAAATACACCTAGACATGATAAATCTCATTGTTTCCCAAGCTCCACAGCTATCATTAGAGGGAAAAAAACCCAACAACAACAAAAAAAAACCCACCCAACTCTGTCAGAATCAAGCTAATCAGAAAGGTAGTAAGAAAAAAAAAAAGAAAAAGGGATAGATAGAAAAAACACTTCTGAAATGAATTAAGTACATGTGCACTCATAGACAATCTAACTACAGGATGACCCCTCAGGAATTTAATTTATATTTTTGGAGAGTTGTATATGATCAAAGATTATAAGCCTCTCTTGCAGTGACTTCACTGCCTCCTCTGCGGAGCTCAGTCAGAACTAGACTGGAGGTGGGGGAGGATGATTACTTACTGTTTTGCACTTTAGGTGGGGATTGGCTTTCAACATCAGCCAAAAAGTAATCAGCCATTACAAGCTGTACTGTGTGATGAAAACCATGCTGTGCACATGTGGAGTATTCTGGCTGCGCACTGTCTCCTCGCCAAGAGCTAATGAGATAATTTTCTCCTTGGAGACTACGCCACTGCTAAATACAAGAGTAAAGACGGCCTTTGCGCAAGCAGCACCTCCCATAGAGCAGGCTCCTGAAACAAAACACTACCTAATCGTAGACTGCAATTCAACAACTACAGCCATGAAAGACTCTTCCTCTCTCTGACAGACTGCTCACAAGTGGGATGTGTTATCTGAACGTGAGAAGTTCCAGGACCTGTGTGCATATTCTCAAAGCTGTTCATATCCCTTCACCACAGCTGTGGTGGATGGCCTTTCTCTGTTTTGTTTTTTAACGTTTCTACTCCGTCTTCTTTCCCCTCAAAGTACCATCATTATTATTATTATTCTAACTGCTATTCTTTAACCTGATTAAGGCTCTCTGGCTATAGGAGATACTTTGAATTTTTGTTTAATAAAACAAAACAACAACACAGCAAAGAACCCTCAGGTCATGTAGTGGATTCAGCCAAAGCCTAACATTTTAATCATCCCTGCTAATTGTTTGTAGACAGACCAGCATAAAGTATTTGAAGTATTTAGGCCTACACCTAACTAAAAGCTAGGAATCCTGACATTATCTTCGGCCTGAAGGTCCCCCAGATCATTTGCATAAGTATTTTGCCGAATCAGGAAAATAGTGAAGGAAAACAAACTTCATGTCCACTAATACTTGAACTTGTTAAGCTTTCTTACTGAAAAGCTGTCCCTTGAAAATGAAAACTGAAACAGGGGCAGCAAAGATGATGAAGATTTTGCAATCAGCCTAAGAGCTCAAGAGGAAAACGGGTGCAGTAGGCGATTCTTGTTTTTTTTTGTTCTGGTTTTTTTTCATCAGTTAAATGAAACCAGTAAGGACAAATCTCAGCAAGGAATGACTCACTTAGCCTTGTTCTATTGCGCAGACAGAATGGGTGGTCTGCAACACATTCAAAAAAACAGGTTAACAATTAATACTGGAAGGACCGCTCTGTCAGCATTTCCCACTGAAACCATTTGCAAACAGGCTGCATGTAAATCCTGGCCTTTATGAGGATAGATTTTCCAAGCTCAAGTCCAAATCTTTAAGTGCTTAGCATCCGGTGTGAAGGCCAGATTTTCAGGAACTTGAGTCTCACTTTGGTATTTAACATAAGGTGGAGATTTTCCCAAGTCCTTTGCGTAAGTAACTGAAGACCTCTGAAAATCGGCCGTGTGTTGCAAGAAGCAATTTCTGCTGCAAGAAGCAACCTTTACCTAACCTAGTTCATACCAAGTAGCACAGACAGAACTCTGATATGTTTTTGCACAAAAGTACAAGAGTCCAAAACTGTAATAATTTATGGAGATATTCTGTATCACAAACAGGTGAGGATTTGTGACAGAACAACATAACATTAAAGCAAGCAAATAGGTAGACAATGGAGATTACACTAACCCTTAATGCAGAGGAACAGTGGAGTAAACACGTGATATGTCCACTGACAGGCTGAGGCAGGTATATGTCCTTTTCATCTGTGCTATATGTGAGGAAAAGACTTGGCCAACCACTCAAAATTTTAGAAGGCGGCAGTCCTCCATGAACCTCAAGCAAGAACAGGCTTAAGCCTAACTAAACATACAAGCCTGGGGACCGTTACTTTCCGATCACGGACAGTCCGCTTGACTCCAGTTTTAGATTTAGATGTGAATTTACAAAGAGGAGGAAAGTGTTCTACACACCTTGAATAGCCTCACACTTTGAATCAAAACTTCCTAACCCTCCTGTCCTGTTCTCCCTTCAAATTAGCAACCTATCCACTGCCGCACTTTCATCTAAGTTGTTTGCTATGAATGACCAACCTCCTTCAAAAGCTGTGTATGATATAATGCTTAGTGGTTTCTCCACCATAATTTTGATCTCACAATACCCTGAACTGTTATTTTCCTGCTCGCCTGTGCGACGAACCATAAAAAAGCCCTCAGAACACCAAGCCAAAATTTCAGAAAAACCACTTGTCATGTTTTTGGTACTTTGTAATTCAGAACTATTACATGCTTTTATTGCTTCAATTACAATAGCAACTGGATATCATAAAGAAAGTAGGGTCCCATGTGCCAGCTACCGCACAGACCTTAGACTAACACCTCTAAAAGGCTCATAGGTTGGACAGTGCCAGAAACAAAGGGTCAGGGATGGGATACGGTAACAGTCAGTTGTAGAGGAAGGCTTCTTAGCACTCTATCATATCCACATTGTATTTCTGCAGTGATCTCTCTAAACTCCTCCCTGAAGTTAAGAAAAGTTCAGAACTGAAGAGTTCAGAAACTCTTGCCTTTTAGAAACGATGTTTAACAAGTGACTTAACTTCTAGTTTCTGCATTTACTCTGGCTTCACTTGTCAGTTCCTCATAAATTCGTAAAACCATCAGAAAGGCTGCAGTCTAAAGGACTACTGCCTCTTCCCATTTTCCTAGACTGACCGCACCTCATACCTCATTTTTAGGGCCTTACCCTTGCCTATGTGAGCGTATATATTATCTATAGAAAAAGAGAGAGCTACACGCACTGCACTATATGCAGCAGCTCTAGGCCTCCCAGGGCTCTTAGCAAATTTAATCTTGTCACCTTGGAGGATAAAAAGCTTGGCTGGAGGCCACTCATGCCACAGAAACTGGAGGGGAAGGGCTGGAGGTGTAATGGAGGGATGACTGCAGGAAGGCTGCAGGTGAGCCAGACTTGCCCTCCTTGTTGCCTCAGGGGACCAGAGATACACAGTGCTGCATCTGGAAAGGCCTCTCAATTCTTTGGGGCACCAAAGGTGATCCTGGTTTGCCAAGGACTGGTACTAGTGATGTGGTCAGTTCGCCTGGACAATCCCTTCTCCTTTTGCACCTTCTCCCTTCGTGGATGCGCACATATACAGGTAAGGTACAAAAGAGAGGAGCAGCCTGTTCATATACATAGTTATATTTGCACATGATCCAAAGGCAAAAATCCTCTAGGGCTCTGTAACTGGCAAAATTTCCGTTTGCTAAAACACTAAAATTCCTTTTTGTAACATGGCATCATGATGACCAGTCTGTCAAAAACAGAGTATAATGTTTAGTCTTAGGTACATGTGTTACATTAAAATCTTAGCAAGTGTGCTGAGCACCTGAGGTCTGTCCTACTGCAAGCCTAACAGGATTCATTCAGATCTGGATTCATACAGAGGGGTATCACAGACAAAAGATTAGACAGAACGAAAAGAAGCCTGAATAAAGTGGAAAGCGGAGGAAGAGTGTGTTTTTTTTTTTTTTTTTTTACTTTTTTTCATCATTCACTGTATGACCACCAGAAAGGCAGAAATCTTAAAACTCAGTATAATAAATTTCTAACCCCCCACTTTTAGATTACTTGCTAATGTCTAATTTGTGCAATGACTGTTCATTGCACAAATCCTATGTGCAGGACACACAGTAGGGCTGCTCGACTTTTTTCACTCCCTGATTGTTTTCCTGTACTTCATCAAAAAAAAAAAAAGAAAAAAAAGAAAAGAAGAAGAAGAAGAAAAAAAGCAGCAGGTTTGTCTTTGCCACAATGGAAGGTGACAGTTCATGCCACTGTGTCAGGATCTGATAACCCAAGAGCAGCCACAGTCCATGAGGGACGCTGGTGCTCCTGTAACAAGCAGTGAGCAAGAGGCAGCAGTCTGAAGCACAGCTGTAAGTGTCAGTTTTTCTACCTTGTCAGGAAGGAGTAATTAGAGAATAACTCACTGTTGACTTCAAGTCTCTCCTGCCACCCCCACTGGTCCCTATCCATCATCATGAAGACTTCTCTTGGTGATTCATTATGAGAAGGCTGCCTTTCCAAGGGAGGCGCTGAGAGGAATTTTCCATTTCTCTCCCCCTCCTCCCTTGCACGGCAGCAATCTAATTTCAGTACAAGCCCAGGATCCTAATGTCAGTGGCTTTGGGCATCTGCTGATAAGGAACAAGCAAATTCCAGGAGCAGGAGAAAACAGGTGCATTAAAAAACTCTTCTGAGAAAGACAACCCAACATATGTTTCCAGGAGGGAAGGTGAGTAAAAGGGAAGGGCCTGTGAAAATTTCAATTAAATCCTGGAGGGAGGGCGGGTCTGTAAAATACACAGTAAAATCAGCATCAGACAGGTTGAAAGAGACAGAAGAAGCCTGGGCAAATACTGGCTTACCTAAGGGACTATAAGAAGAAATGTATGGCAAATCTGTATACATACAGAGTACTAAGAGGCACAAGGCATTTCAAAAGTGAGAAGTTTGAACAACTGAGCAAAGACAAATTACAACAGCACTGGGCTCTAACTCTGACACTTAGCTGGTTTCCCCTTCAAAAGTCAGCGCAACTTTTGATGGTGCAATTTCTCTCTGCAAAAATGGCAAGAGGAGTTACCTATTTTTGTAAGGCGCTCAGATTAACGGATATGATAAATGTTAAGTGCTACATGTCAATTACAAATATCGCCAAAGAGGAATTTTTAGTATTTCAATCCCTTCTAGCTATTATAGATAGGTTCAGAGGATCTTCCAAAAAGACCTGAGTTTCTAACAGCCTTGTCAGCTTAAAGAGAGCTGTTTGTTAACTGTATGGCAGTAAACTATGCTAAACTAAACCCTCCATGTTCATTCTCCCAGGTACCTGCTCTAAGGCATCTTTTCCAGATTTGGAGTTGGAGGGTCTCTGTTGCTGAGGGGCTGCAACTACAGAGCTCTGAACTGGTCCTGCACTGAGGGCATGTACTTCTCAACAGATCCACCAAGTTCCTCTCTAACATCCTACATCTGTTGTCACCTATTTCTTTGGGACTGGAGAAACAGCACTGCTTGTAAAAACAGCTCTATTTGAAATAAAGATGGAAAGTGCCAGAGATATGAGCTCATTCAAGTTTCAAAGGGTTTGAGAAAAATCGTATTTAGGGTAGGAACTGAACTGAAGCAAATCAAATTAATTGATATAATGGCCAGAAAGTTAACCCTTTTGTGGAAGCTGAATATTGTGTGCTAATGGTATGTTTCCAGAGTCTCCAGAAACATACAAGATTTTTTAAAGCAATAACTATAATTACATAGCAGAAGATAGATTGATTATGCCACTTTTGTGTTCACTGATGCCAGAATCACGCAATAACCTCTCAAACAGCATAATGTTCTCTCTATGGATATTTAACTGAAAAAAGTACAGCTGTGACTTGTTTTGAGTCAGCTTGCTGAGATAATGCCAAGTGAAAAAAAGTTTACGGATAAAAACCTGTCTTTCAACAGCTGTTAGAACACGTCAGGAGTATCCAGAGGATGAATGTATTCAATTTGTATAAGAACCTTGACAGTCTGAAACTAGGGAAAACAGAAGAATTGCAGCATACCACAGGCAAATTTACCTAAAATGATGACTGCTAGGAAAGGCTAAATATCGCACGACCAATGCCGTGACATTCATTTCCAAAATTTTGGTCTAGATTTATCTTTGTTAACATCCATGACTTGCTTCTTATCAAGTCCTTTTAATAGAGATTTGAAGTAGAGAAGAGGAGGATGAGATAGAAAAATAGAGATCCATCCTAAAAGAAATGCTTCACACTTCTTAGCTGTTGGTATTTTATATGGCATATAAACATGCCAGTGAGATTAGACCCCTGTTATACCGTCACACAGGCCTCAAAGCATGTATTTCTACACTGAGAATCTGAGAGAGAACTGTTAGCAAAAAGAATTGGGCATTTCACCATTGCTGAGGCAGGCAAAGTTCTCATCTCTTAACAGCCACAGCAGGACATGAAAGAGCTATGCAAGCTGATCTGCTTCTCATCTTCTACACATAGCTTTCCTTGCACACAACCCAAACTCACGCGAATTGCTGAGAGAAAAGAAAGAATTGAAGAAAAAAAAAAAAGGTTTTTATTAGGCTTCTGACCTCTGCCTTATAAAGGGGGCTTTTATTGCTGGTTGTAAAGCCTGGTATTGGGTTACTTTTACAGGAGATGCAAATCCTGATCAACATTGAAGAAAAATCTAAATATTATAGTCACTGAAAATACATCATATATTTTTTATCGCCTATCTGCACAAGAACATTCATTAGGTTTTTCACATACACTATTAACGTGATTGTTGGATGTAGCTCACCAACATTTATAACAAGCTTTGTACTACTCAGGCTTCTTCATCACTGATACTATATTTCTGATAGATGTTATGAACTGAATTGCTTGCAGGGAGGCTGAATT